TGTTTTTGGTGAATAATATCAGCAATTTTGGGACAAAAAATTGGAAGAATTGTTTTAAGTTTGTTGCTGCCACACACCAAGAAAAACCGACCACCCCCGAAAACCCAACACAACACTAGCCAAAAGTATGGTTTTCCATTAAAAAAATTTATTGCAGAAAAATTTACCGAAACAAAAGTCAAAATATAAAGAGAAAATCTTACTCAAGATAACTGTGCTGTCTCAAGCGAAAATTTGCAAAAAAGAATTGTATGGTAGCTGACTTATTTTGCTAATAAGTTTTCCGTTGGATGAAATAGATTAGTGAAACTAGATTCCTTATTGGTATTCTGAGCAAAAAGTTGGAAATTACAAATATATATTTATTAATTTGAATTGGATCAATACCTCAAATTGAGTAAGTACGAGGAAAATATCCGTACCAGATAAAAATAGGAAAGTATCTTGTCTTAAATCTTCAATTTCCTTTTAGAGGACAGATAATTTTAGTGTTCCACATGGGATTTTGGTCGAAGTTTACATATCAATGATGAATTTACTCAGAAAATGAGAAAAGGGTTTTTTTAGTTGGAGGATGCTGAGATTGCTATTTGGTTATTGTAGGAAAATATGATGCTGAAAGAACAAGTGGAAGCACTCATTCAGGAAAATACTATTCTGAAGCGAGCTGTTGCTGTTCAGCATGAGCGTCAGAAGGAGTATGAAAGTCAGAGTCAGGAGTTGCAGCATCTGAAGCAAGTAGCATCTCAATATCAAGAGCAGTTGAGAACCCTTGAGGTTAGCCTCATGAACTCAACTTATGATTCATATGGGAAGTGGGAGCACATAGATACTGTTCATCTACGTGTCTACTCCCATCTTATTTTTCTAGCAACATGATTAAGCAGACGGCTTTGATTGTTTCGGAATCTGATTAAAATTGTTTGATCATCTGAACCCCCCCCCCCCAAAAAAAAAAAAAAAGGTAAACAATTATGCATTGACAATGCACTTGAAGCAGGCTCAGCAAAGTAGCTCCATCCCTGGCCGTTTCAACCCTGATGCCTTCTAGTAATTCTTGGATATGGCTTTTGCATATGATTTGTCTGCACTTCTGTGTTCGTATCATGGCAAAGGCCTTGCTAACACTATTAAGCTTCCAAAAGCTATTATCTTCTTCAATAGGTATACTGCCACCAGGTGGTGTGTATTTCCTTCTATATTTACAGGCAAATAGGATGCAGAAAAAAGATAGCCTTGATTATTTTAACGAAAGACATGCATGGTAGTTTGCATTCCTGATTATTTACTTGAACTGGAAAAATTGATAGTAAGGTGGTGTTTGTTTTTGCGGAGGTAAAAGGTCTGCAGTCTGCGGATAACATTTGCAGGCATCTGCAGTAGAAGAGGTGAATCAAAAGTCTGCAGTCTGCAAGAAAAAAACTGTTTGTTTTTTAACGTCTGCAGACTGTTAAAATGAACTGAAATATAAATAAACTGATTTTTTAAACTTAAAAGAGTTTTACATACTGAGATTTAAATAATTTTATTTTACAATACTGAAATTTAAATAATTCATATAACTACAATAATAAATTATTTAAAATAAATCAATTCATACTAATAAATTATTTAAAATAAATCAATTTATACAACTACAATAATAAATCAATCCATATTTTAAAATAAATCAGTCCATACAAATAAATTATTTAAAATAAATCAATATATTTTAAAATAAATCAATCCATACTAATAAATTATTTAAAATAAATCAATCTATACTAATAAATTATTTAAAATAAATCAATCTATATTTTAAAATAAATCAATCCATATTAATAAATTAATTAAAAATAAATTATTTTAAAATAAATCAATCTATATTTTATAATAATTTATTCTAAAATAAATTATTTTATAATAAATTATTTTATAATAAATTATTTTAAAATAAATTATTTTATAATAAATTATTTTAAAATAAATTATTTTATAATAAATTATTTTAAAATAAATAACCTTATTAAATTATTTAAAATTATTTTAATAAATAACTATATTTTATAATTGTTCTTGAAGAGTTTGAAGACCTTTGAAGACATAAAACCAAGTCTGCACCAAAAAGAGCTCGCGCAGACGTTTGAAGAGCTTATGTCTTCTAAAAAACAAACAGTCTGCGAAGCCTAATGTCTGCGCGTGGTCTACGCGACGCAGACATAAGTGGTTTGAAGAGCTTGCACAGTGAAAACAAACACCACCTAAAAATATTGGTACTCTTCATATCGAACAAGTGGCCATGCTAACACATTTGGAACTCTGCATATGTTATATGTTTTTAGCCATGTTATATGCGGGTTAAAGTTGTTTTGGTCTAAATCTGGATATATTTCAATTATTAATCTAAGTTCATTTGTATTTTATAATGATTGATTTTAATTTTAATTACATAAATTTATTGATTATAGTCACAAATCTACTTCCTTTTATCCTCAGTTTCCGTTAAGATTAATGTAAGATATTCAAAATTGTGAAAATTTATCTAAAAATTGAAGAGAGAATATTCTGAACATGTTACCTATTTCATCTCCCTTTAATAGAAATCAACATTTTTTATACTTTATATCAAACAAAAAATGTCAGTCACGTATCATTTTATTTTTTTTGGATTTTACCTAAGCTTCCAAGTAAATGGTGATATGGGGCAGGGGCCATCCCTGCAAACACAAATCAATTAATATTATTATCTATATAAGAACACAAATTAATTACTGATTTACCTTTGCAGCGGGTCCTGTTTCGCAGAAAGCTCTGCTTAGGACATGTCATTGATGCTCTCATATGTCTCTCTCCTCGTATACGAAGACAACAGGGATTCTATATGCTGGAATTCACCGAATTTGGCTCGAGTTATGTTCGATTCGAATTTGAAGTTGAATAATTTAAATATTATTAACTCGAATAATTTATTAATATAATTAATATATTTTCAGTTTTTAATTAGTGTTAAAATTAAGTCCTAGTAAATTAAATATGAACATAGTCTAGATAAACAAACTTAATTAAACAGAACTTCTTAAAAGTTAAGTGGAAATTTTACATTGAATGGAAAAGAAAAGGAAAATATAAAAGAGGTGGAAGCAGTGATGGATCCAAATTTCATAATTGATGATTGGGTCCTTTTGCTAGAGGATTGTTGATAATGGGCCCCATTTTTATTAATTTTTGTTTTGTTATTTGCACGAGTATGTAAAAAAGGAAATTTAAAACAAACACGATTTAGATATATAATTTAGTATGTGATATTTATAGAGAATCTAAGATAGAGGCAAGCAGTGTCCCATCAATCAACTCCATGTGTAGTATGATCGTTGTGTGCGTGTGGAGATCGTAAAATTTACCCATCTTGTTCATGAATTTCACTTTCGCATTGACACGATCAATGGCTAAAATATAAGTTTGTCTGCATGCGTTTTGTATGTTTGTTTCGTACAATTTTTCCGTTTCTACTACACTTTGAATTATCAAATTGTATATTATGAGGAAAACAATCCTTTTAAACTTGATCGAATTCCTCAAAAATTGCGGTAAGACCCAGATTTTGATGTTGTTTAGTTTATCAATTTATATGCTATTTAGAGTAGTTTGACAGCAGTGAGATTAGAATATTGTTATTCACAGTTGATCTGTGTGTAATGTTAATTTCTTTCGGTTTTTTTAACACATCAAATATAGTAAAAATAAAAAATAATTTCTCTAGAGATTTTAGTTAGAACAGTCGCGTTAGTAGGAGGTGAACGTTATCAATAGGTTAAAAAATTATAAACATATATCATTTTATAATCAAACAGATATTATCTTATAATTAACCAAAAAATTGTGCTCCTTTTGAGGATAGAGATATTATTATAATGAGCTATCATTTGTATTTAAAGTGTACTTGATTTTATGTCTATGTACAAATGATATTTTTGTCAAAAAAATATAATTGTTTGTGTGAACTAAGAGATTTCGGTGGTAAAATAATAATAATTATTTCTTGAGTCATGAGCTTGAATACCACGAATGTTAGGGGTGTGAGCGTTTATTGTCAAATGATTGAGAGTTATTTTTGAACAAATATTGTATTGTACTTAGCCCAAATTAATCATATTTTTGGAATAAAATTTAAAATTTTATTTAATTAATAATAAAGTTTGTTTTATTGGATAAATAAACAAAATATAAAATAAAATATTTTAATTTTTTTTAAAAATTAAAATTAAATTATATTAGTCATATTATTCGGCAACTTCCCCTAAAACTATTAAAGATTACAAATTAATCACTAAATAGAATCATACAAGGGATATAGTTTTAAAAAAACTAAATCAAATAACTTAAAAAAAGTAGAAATAAACAAACGCTACGGTTAGAGGTGAAATGCAAACATCATTAACACTAACATAAAAATAAATATAACAATATTAATATGTTGATAAATTATCTTTATGACAACTCAAACACGATTTATTCGAGCCTTTGGAGATAATTAAGATCTAAATAAAAAGTAAATAAATAAAATAATAAAATAAACGATATTAATTTTGTCTATAAAAAAAGATATGATGTAAAAAAGAACATATAACGCGCTATAAAAACAACAAAAATAATCCAGACTTTGATATGGAAGAGAAAGAGTGATTCACTTTATCATTTATAAAAGAAAACAAATGGAATAAAGTTTAAAAGTATTAATAGTATAAAGTGAGGGTTTTGTTTTTTTTTTTTTTCATTCTTTCCAATTTGTATAATTTTAAACTTTAATTTTCCTGAATGCTTGGTAGTCAGTAATCATCACTCCCATAATTTTTTCAATGTAGGGTTTCTTATTTCAGTTAAATTTTTTGTTTTTCTCTTTACCTTTCTTATATAATCTAGCTGTGTTATGTGCCCCACACCGCACTCACTGGTAAAGCAAAGCCTGAGTAAATAAACAATATTGCTGATTTTTTAGTGAAATTAAACCCTACAGACTTACCCCTTCTTTGCTTTCATCCGTTCCTCGCCAGTCTCCTCTTTCTCTATAAAGCTAGGCCGACAGATTGTATACTGGTAGAGTGGTCCTTTCATCTTTGGATGCCATCTTTCTCTTCTTCCTTTTTGTCTACCTTCCTTTTCCATCCACTACTCTGTGTTTTTAGGTCAAGAAAACTGAAAAAAAGATTGAGATTTTAGATCTGAAATGAAACGATTTTCAGTGTGATGGTCGATGGTATTTCATATGGTTTTGTTAAATGGTCCTGGTCATGCTTTTCCACGGCTTTCTTGAACTTTCTTTGTATTCATGCTGCCTGATATATAATTGTATATAGCACACCATGAAAGTTCAAGAAAGCTGTGGGAGAACATGATAGCAATTCAGGACTTGTGTTTATCCCTTCAGAGAAGCTAGATTGCAGAACAAGAGCTCCATCATAGTATGATATTCTTTAACTTTTTCAAAATTATCACGTGAATTTCTTTTTTTTATTGCAGTTAACCTTCCTTTCCTCTGAATTATGATACACAATTCTTGCACCATGCAGATTTGTCTCTGAGAAAATGTTTCTGATGCTGAATTACAAGGTGGGTTCTTCGTCCTTCATTAACTTTTTTTTTTACTCATACACAATCCAACAGGTTTTTCAACAATGTATTAAATTACAGTTACGGTGTCTGTTGCGACTACCATTACAGATGTTATGGTGACCTTGAAAACCATTATAATGTATTTATTGAGACCGTTATTGAACTAATGCTCCTGTTACAGAAGTTCTGAATATTATTGAATCAAGTGTAGGTGAAAAGGGGGAATTACATTTGCTGCAGAGAAGATTTCCTGGTAGCTTTAACTCCTTGTTATTATCAATGATGAAAGTTGTCACTGTTAGCCTTTCTGGTTTGACCCTCTCCCTTAGATGATCTGTGGTGGAAAAGATTAATCTTTGTCCCATGTTTGTGACATCATCCTTTAACCACTCCACACCCCCACTATCATCTCTGACAGATAAGTTTTTCTTTCCATTTTCTAATGGAAATGATCCAATATTGTATCATAATTTATCACATACTATATAAGAAGGTATATATCCAACCCTTATTCTCTTTCTTTAACTCCTACAGGAATTGGTTCACTCTAACCCTTGCTCTTTTCATGCATTAATTATTTATTTACAGCCCAGAACTCTAAGCATTGAGATAAGATCCTGTTTCCTTTTCTGCCAGCCAATGAATCCAAATTCTCAGACTTATGTTGAACAAGTTGTGGCAAGTTGATGACAGAAGAAGCTGCGTACATACGCGTGGAAACAGCACTGGAGGATAGGACATGAGAGGAAAAGCCAAAAGTTTCTCTAATTTATACTTCTTGTTCGGGCTTTTTTGTGCGGATTTCATCCAATTATATTGTAGCAAATTGCAAGAATGTCAGTGGGTGATTCATATAAAGGTTATATCCCTGCAGGCAGTACTGGTTTCAGCTTTTAGTAATTTACCTACGGTTTTTCCTTTTTAATATCGGTATACGAATACAACTTTAGAAAAATACTTTTGAAAAACCATATAAAAACAAATTTAAGATAGAATGCATAAGTCCATTCAATATAAGAAAACATTGCAAGTACTGATTTAAGAACTCAGATTTTACAGGAGAAATTTTGAAACTTTGAAGGAGAGCATGGATAAACTGAAAGGGAAATGGAAAGCCAAAGCCAATAATTAGGTGGCTTTTGAGGTATATAACTCTTTGTTCAAACCATATCCACTTGTATATTAAGACGTTGCAGTTCAGGAAAACTAAGGAAGAAAGCAAAGAGGCCGGTTTTTCCATTTGTTTTATGGGTCAAGTACACAAATGGTCCTTGATTATTGGATACTGCTTTGTTGAATCTCCGACTATTACAAGTTACACAATAGTCCCTATTATAAGGTGTTGCTTTGTTGAGTCCATTGACTATTAAAAGTTACAAAATGATCACCCGACTATATGGTGTTGTTTTGTTGAGTCCATAGACTATTAAAAATTACAAAATAGTCACCCGACTTTTCATATGTTCCAAACTCATCTTTTTCCATTGAAAAATTGGTCGCAATCTGAACTAGACGTTAACCTGCTAGCTCAGATATGATAAAATCCGATCTCATAATCTCAAACAATTATTATATCTTAGTTAACATATTAACGTCTAACTCAGACGGTCATTAATTTTTTAACGATAAAGGACGAGTTTGGAACATAATGAATAGTCGAGTGACCAATTTGTAATTTTTAATAGTTAAGGGACTCAACAAAGCAACACCATATAATCGGATATCATCTTGTAACTTTTAATATCGGGATTCAACAAAACAATATCCAATAGTCGAACCATTTGTATAGTTTACCCTTGTATAATAGGTATCCCTTGTCCCTCTCATCACTGCAATTTTTATATAAAACCCTAAAGCTAAAAAAAAGCATACAAAACATAGAGAAAAGATGAGGGTGTGCCTTTTTTCACGTAACTCAATTTACCCAAAATATTTTCATCATTTTTTAATGTTTGCTTATCAACATTGATTCTTAAAGATGGTTTTTTTTACGAAAGATTTGTGGCAGAATTCATTTTGTTATATTTATATTTTATTAAAAAATAAAATGTTATTTTAAATTCATTAATCTAATTATTAACTAATAAATTGAAAATGTAATATTATTTATTGTGAATGAGAAGTTAAACAAGTGCAAGATTGGTTGGGTTTGAGGGGGCGGATAATAGGTTTGCTTTTGACGCCCAAATATATTCTTTGGGTCATTTAGAACCTGCCCTGGATTGAAGTGCATTTGATGTCATTAGCAAACGACCGTGTTTAATTAGCAGCTAAGATTAAGCAGCTTCATTTGATGTACTGCCTAATATTATACATCAATGCAGCGTGAGTGGGTTATAATTGCCTCACATCAAGTATTCTTAATCGTTTTCAATTTAATTTCTTCTTAAAGAGGTTGGAGATCAGGTGGTGGATGTCCGGAACATAAAGCAGATAGCAGAATATGAGAAACATCTAGGCGAAATAGATAGACGAGAGCTGGAACAACCAAAGAGAGGCGTAAAGCCTGCAAAAGAGGAACAACCGCAGCTGCTGCAGTTACAACTTGAAGAAAATGAGGCAGAGAACAATGACGGTGATGAATTTTATCGACGACTATACGGACACAGGCACCTGTGTGTTTGAACACATGAAAATGTCTCTTTTTGCACATTGATTGTTCAACAGACACTAAATGGGTTGATCAATTGCACCCTCTTGGCTTTAGGTGATGAATAAGCGCCAAAGTTGCCATAACATTTTATTCCCATACCTAATCTTAAGCTCAGATAACTTTATCAGTTGTCACCGCCTTTAGTTCCAAATATTACCCTCAATGGCCACCTGGTGCCTACACCTTCATAGGTATTAGCGTGACGATTTCATGCTCAAGAACTTTAGGTACACCCACATACAGAAGGATGATTAGGTACAGGTCCAGTGACAGTATGTTACACACTGAAGATGAAAAATCCAGAGACAGAATGGGTATGTTTTTTCTTTTAAAAGTTCAGTTGTGATTGAAAAAAGGGAAAAAAATTGACGCGAAGACTAATGCTTATGTGTATGACTTTGAGGTACACCTGTTTGTAGCAGTAAATCTTATTCTTCATAGTATAAGCAAAGAGTAAGTCCGTACAGTATTTTTTTTTTATTGTTTGGTAAAAAATTGTAGCCGAAGTCTCTTGATGAATCACTGGCGCATATGAAAGAATCAACAGACACCACATGCTACTAAAGCAAAGAGACAAATAAGGTCCATGTGCCATAGCTTCACATTGGTCCCTCTTTCTTTTAACCTTAGCCAGCTTCAATTGAAACTGTAACCTTCAAGTTGCTCCCTTGTGAATTCTGATTGATTCTCCACACCATCGTCTGATTCAATACAACCAAAAACTGAAATGGAAGATGAAAATGTTATCATGGAGTTCTACACTGTGGTTTCCTTGTTCTTTCCCTATGTTTTACATTAAATAGGACCTTTTCTGGTACATTAAATAGGCTTTAAAAGTTACTTTTCACATGCATTTTACTGTAGCAAATGATTTTTAAATGTATTAAAGTTACCAGAAAGCAACAAAATGAGAATCCCGGAAAATCACGAACAAAGATTAATACTATCACTCTTGATTGCATCGTTTGACAAAGATACAGTTTGCAACTATCTTTTAAAAGAAAAGTGGATAAGAAAATGGTATTACAACAACAGCAGCATTAGATTTCAAGTCCAATTGAGAAAGGAAGAAAGAGAAAGCTTGACATCCGCTCATGTCGATTTCATCACAGATTCCATCAATCTGCCAACCTGCAAGTCCGTATGCCATGAAATCTAATGAGGAACAAAGCTCGTGTAATGTAATAATTGTTTGTTTATTACATCCAGGAAAACAAAGCTTTTATGCCCAAACTATCACTTCAAAGTATAGGAAGGACTCTACGTTATTTTATGTGATATTTTATACATATCGAGACATAAACATATAGATATATAAGCGCCAATTTTTATGTTTTTTTATATAATTGATATATTAATAATACAATCATTAAATGGATTTTGTTCCTAATTACATGGATATTTAAGTAGAGCAACACTCGAGCTTTTCATTTAAAATAAAAAATGACTGTTTTATGGGTAACAACAATTTTTTTTATCTCTAACAAAGACTTTTGATGCCTACAAGTTAATATAAACTGGTACTTAAAAACCATTGCCACTGTTGAACCCTAAAAGTAGTGGGAAAACAAACGAAAACCATATAATAGTCTCTCTCTTTTTCCCCTTAGCATTCAAGAAAATTTCAAAGGAGATGATTACACGGCTTAACAAGCAGTTTAAGATTGGTGATTATACATAAACAGAAGTACTTAACTTGGTTCTAGAGATAGCAAGTGTAACCAGGAGGGGGTGTTTTCCCACAAGTGACGAGGAGCTGAAGAGCCAGTGGCACGAAAAGTTTAAGGTTTAGAACCTTGAGCTTGAGAGTTGTGCACAAGCAGACAGCAGCTTCGAGCTCAGCAAGTCCTGCAAGAACCGGACAACATTGGTTTACAACCGGGTCACCAAGACCAATGTGCACCAACCCGCCCAGCAGGTCCACACAGGCACCCAGTTTCAGCGTGTCGATAGGGCAAGTGTCCTTGGTTGGTGGTGATGGGCAGGGTTTTCCTTTTCCACTTGGTGGCTTAGTAGTAACCGGAGGAACTGTTACCGGAGGAAGGTCAATGGGCGGCTTCACAATTGGAGGGAGCTCAACCGGAGGGAGTTTAGGAACAACTGGAGGGAGTTTAGGAACAATGGGAGGCAAAGTGATGGGACCTTTAGGGGACTTTCCCTTGTGCCTTCGATGCTTTGATGGTGCCTTCCCACAAGAACGGCAACCAAGAATTGGAGTCACTGAGGAAATGAAAAGCATGCAAATCAGCAGCAGAGCAGATATTTTGCTGGACTCCATTTTCAAACCCAAAGAGTGAACAGAGCGAGAGAGAGATGAGTTTAAATGTTTAAAAATGATTGTAGACAAGTGGGGGTTATATAAAAACAAGGAAGAGGAGGGGGTGAAAACAAACAAAGAAGCCCTAGAAGAAGAAGAAGAAGAAGAAGTGAGGAAGAAGCAAATCACGTGAAGATGGGATACGTTCGAGAGGCAGCTGCCAAAATTTGCTAGTTGGCATTGCCTCTACAAATACATGAATCTACGTATCAACATTTACTCTCCGCTAAGTATTTGTTCTCGGCGTTTAGCTAGGATATAGAAAGAACTACACATTTTACATCAATTTTGATTTAAGGAACACTTGGAAGATAAAGTATAGAGGGAGGTCGACTGAGATAATTTGGATCCTTCTATGCCAATTTCTTAACTCTATACGTTTCAAAAAATAGCACCATCATCTTTTTTAATAGAACCGATGGACATTAAGTTAAATCTAAAAAAAAAATCAATATTAAAATAATTTGTCAAGAATCTCTAAAGCTTATCGTTAAACTCTCGGTTGACACTTCCCACCTCTTTTAAGTTATAGATTCAATACTCCTTAGTAGTAAAATTCTACATCTCCTTCTAATTAGGAATTGTTTAAAGCAAAAATTATTTAACTCAAAGGTGGTGTTTGGTTAGATGGAATCTCTTGGAATTGGTGGGAATTGGAATTCAATTCCATCACTTTCCCATGTTTGGTTCAAGTTTTTCAAGGGAATTGGAATCCATGATGGAATTCAATTCCATCAAATGAGGAAAAGTGAATTCTATCAAAAAATGGATAGAATTCAATTCCATTGTTGGAGGGAATTGAAATTTGACCATACTACCCTCATCAATCCTTTGGTAACTTATTCATATATTAAATAAAAATATTTTTTTATTATTTCGGGTTGGGTAGGGTTTCTAATTCATACATTCGGGTCGGGTCGGGTGAAACTTTATTTTGGTCGGGTCAGATCAGTTTTTTTAAGTGTGATATTCGGGTCGGGTCGGGTTCGGGTTTAGGGTGAAAAAAACCGGACCGACCCGAAAATATATATAATTCAGGTCGAGTCGGATTAAGTCACTGTTTTTATTAAATAAAAATATTTTTTTATTATTTCGGGTCGGGTCGGATTTCTAATTCATATATTCGGGTCGGGTCGGATGAAACTTTATTTTGTTCGGGTCGGGTTTTTTAAGTGTGATATTCAGGTCGGGTTGGGGTTTTTTTAAGTGTGATATTCGGGTCGGATCGGGTTTAGGGTGAAAAAAATCTGACCGACCCGAAAATATATATAATTCGGGTCGGGTCGGATTAAGTCATTGTTTTTATTAAATAAAAATATTTTTTTATTATTTCGGGTCGGGTCGGGTCGGATTTCTAATTCATATATTCGGGTCAGATCGGATGAAACTTTATTTTGTTCGGGTCGGGTCGGGTTTTTTTAAGTGTGATATTCGGGTCGGGTTCGGGTTTAGGGTGAAAAAACCGGACCGACCCGAAAATATATATAATTCGGGTCGGGTCAGGTCGGATTATGTCACTGTTTTTATTAAATAAAAATAATTTTTATTATTTCGGGTCGAGTCGGGTCAGATTTCTAATTCATATATTCGGGTCAGGTCAGATGAAACTTTATTTTGTTCGGGTCGGGTCGGGTTTTTTAAGCATGATATTCGGGTCGGGTCGGGTCGGGTTTTTTAAGTGTGATATTCGTGTCAGGTCGGGTTCGGGTTTAGGGTGAAAAAAACCAAACCGACCCGGAAAAAAAATAGAATTTTACCTTATATATTTAGGAATAATTACAATAATACCCCTCTATATATAATTTTTTCAATTAAGTCAATGTTTTTATTGAATAAAAATAATTTTTTTATTATTTTGAGTCGTGTCGGGTCGCGTTTCTAATTCATATATTGAATAAAAATAGTTTTTGGTATATTTTTTGGTAACTAATTAACATACTCCGATTGGAATGTATCGAAATATTACTCTATCTTTTGGTAACTTATTAACATATTTTGATTGCGATGATTTTAACTTATAATGTTTATTAGCATGATTTTTATAATTTATTGAAATGAATAATCAATCAATAAAATGGAATTTTAATATTTTTTAATTTTTTATAATATATTACTACATGTAAGTTGTAAAATAAACTAAAATAAAATAAAAAATAAGAATGACAATTCTGTCATTTTACATTACTGAAATCAAATTTATTTGACATGTCTGCGAACCAAACAGAATATGTAATTGGATTCCAATTTCATTTCCTGCCAACCAAACAGAATATGAAATTGAATTTCAATTCCTACAGATTTCAATTCCTTCACAGATTTCAATTCTCTCATAAACATTCCAACGAACCAAAGGCCCACAGAGTATTTACATGTATATTCTAAGGATTGTTGACTAATAAGATAATGCTTAAAAAATTAAAAGCTACCCTATACCTTAGTAAAATTATCGTTTGATTAAACCATTTCATTTTTGCAACATAGGGGACCACATGAAAGCAGAACGATCGAGCTGATTAGATCATCCTCTTGCCTGTATAATCACATGCCAATTGGGTGGATTCTATTTTTATTTGAAAAATATACTTTACATCTTTCCGGTTATAGCCGTGATCGTTTGATCGAGTCAAGTTGAAAAATTTTAAGTTATTCGAATTAACAATTCATATTTTATAATTCAAAATTGACTTGAAATTTTTTGAGTCGAATTAAGTTTATAAAATTCGAGTCGAGTTGATTTTTCAAGTTTTTGTTTAAATCTAATTATAAATATTTATAATATTATGTTATTATTTGATTTTAATTTAAATATTTTTTATAAACATATACAATACATTTATATTTCTTCGCATTTTTTTCACATATTATATACATATATCATACAAAGTCGAGAGACTCGACTCAAACTTAAAAATTAATCCACTGATTACTAAATAATTTGAGTTATTCAATTTGTATTTTACAACTCGATTTAAATTTAAAAAAATTTTGAGTCGGATTTATGAATTACAACTCAAAGTCAAATCAAGTTAAAAAAATCGATTCTCCGTATCGAATCGAGATTTACTAACCCCTATTCCTGCATATTAAGTTGCATGTCAATGGCGGCATAATTGGTTATAATTTGAAATTATATTATGTAAGTCAATTTTTTTAATTCTAAAATATCATGGGTAAAAAATATAAAATTATATATAGAAAATATATTAAATATACATTGTTGTCTCGATTATATATAATTTAGTGGTAAATACAAAAAATTTTTACCAACAACAAGTTGATCTAGTGAGATGAGTTACTAGATCCCTTAAGTAAGGTAAGTAGTTCGAATCTTGGCATCTTGGCGTTTGTGAAGGAGCAAACTGGGTCGGGATAATGTCTTTACCTCTGTGGTACTCGATCTAGATTAGTCGATTAATAATCGGAAACCGATAGCTATACCAAAAAGAAATACAAAAAAATTTATTAAGTGAGTTAATATAAATATAATAAAATAATTATATAATATAATTTATATTTATTTTTTAAATTAAAAGTATAATAATTATATATATTTAAATCGAATCTAAAAAATGTATATCAGCCAGAATAATATAATTTTTTTAACGTAATTCATATATTAATTTATTTAAATTTTATTCTAATTTTTTTAAAAAATAGACATAGGGTAGATTATGGCCGAGGTAGGTCCACTATTTATAAATATTTAGAAATAAATTTGATAGATTTATATCCCTATAAATTTTGAATTGATAGATTCATGTTGAATTTGTTGTCCAATTAAATTTGATTATAGTGGAAGATGATGAGAGGAGCATGTGAATAGAGGAGGTCCGTAGGGCATCAAAAGGAGAAATATATAATTAATATTTGTGTGAGTGCATGATAACACTTGAATTAGTCCGTGATTTCTGCTTTCCTCACACTCGTGTCACCGCTCGTTTTCTCCCTGTCCCTGTCTCTACGTCTCACTCTCGTATTCATCAATGGTAAACCTATATCCTTTTCTTACAACAAACCAAATTATTGGGTTATGAAGAAAATTAGGCTTCAAGCTTGCTTTATGTAGGACAGCGGGAGACCAGTTTCGGATTATTTTACCCATATCAAACTTTTTTACTGACAATTCACGTATATGCAAAATGAATAACAGTCAATGGTGGTAGCCTATTTGGTTTGGCTTAAGGAACAAAATGATTTCTTCCCGGACTATTTATGTTTGTAATTATGTATCTATTTTATCTTTCAAGTTAAATCAATATGATTGGTCCAGAAATCTTTTAATTTCGGCATTTGTCCCCACTATCCCAAGGCAACACGATTGGTCCACGTTTATTAAACTCGCGAAACTCGCGGATTCATTGAAATCAGTAGTCCTCCATTTTCCCGCTGTCATTGACCTGGATTCCTTTATCTACTCCTTCCTTCCCATTCTCCACCTCCGTTGTTCCTTGTACATATATCTTTGCCCTTCACTTTTTCCATTCTCCGCCCATAAAACTAGCCTCGGCTCTCCACGCCTCGATCCCCGCCATCTTCAATTTCCACGACAATGGGGATATTATATGGGATGGTGGCGAGGGGGCAGGTGGTTTTAACGGAGTTTAGCGCAACCCATACAAATGCGAGCACCGTAGCTAGACAGATTTTGGAAAAGATGACCCAAGGAAAGAATGATAGCAATTCCTCGTTTTCGCACGATCGTTACATTTTCCATGTCAAGAGAACCGATGGTCTCACCGTCCTCTGCATGGCCGATGATGCCTCCGGAAGTAACCACTTTCTAATTTCGTATAGGCGTTTTGAATTATGCTTCATGCACAATACGCAATTAATTTATGTTTGTTAGTATTATGAATATTCAGGGAGAATCCCTTTTGCTTTCCTTGAAGATATCCACCAGAGATTTGTAAAGACGTATGGTCGTGCCATTCAATCAGCCTCGGCTTACGCCATGAATGAAGAATTCTCCAGGGTCTTGAGTCAACAAATGGACCATTTCTCAACTGACCCCAATGCCGATAGATTAAACCGTTTAAAAGGGGAAATGAGCCAGGTTGGTACATTTTGCAAATACCATTGGTATATGTCTGTGAATATGGATCTCACTAATTCGATTTTGATTTCATTTATTGTATGAATGATGAATTTGTATGTATAGGTACGAAGTGTAATGATCGACAACATCGAGAAAGTATTGGAGAGAGGCGATCGATTGGAGTTGCTGGTGGAGAAGACATGCTCAATGCAGGGGAATTCACTTCGATTCAAAAGTCAATCTCGTCGTTACAAGAATACTATGTGGTGGAGTAATTGCAAAATCACGTAAGCATATGTATATATATATATATATGTTCTAATCATAATCCTCTCTTAACACAGTTAGAATCATGCACTGAGATTGATAAGATTTGGATTTCCAGTAATATTGATATGAGTTGTTGTGTTGCAGGGTGACATTGATATTTCTGCTTTCGTTGATCATCGCTTATGCTCTGTTCTCATTTGTCTTTTAATAATTCCTTTTTATCGTACTCGTTAATTATAAATTTGTATAAAACTTATTTGTTTTATACATGTAAATTAAATTTATCTTTATATATAGGCCATTTTGGCCGTCAAAATTTACACGTTTGACTGATGTAAGAGCCTTAATTCTGCAAATGCATGAAAAGGTTGACATATGATTACATATGTTTGTAAGCAAATAAAAATATGTTGATCAATAATAAATAAACGTGTTCTAATTTTAAAAATAGATAATAAAATACATATATTACCAATTATATTAAATGCAAATGCGAATCTATTGATCTATTTCGGTGGTAAAAGGGAGCAATCGCGTCTGAAGGGTATGTGTTTAATTTTTTTTAATAAATATTACATTATAATCACCCCAATTAATTAAAAATATATAAATGAGAAATAATAAATAATTATATAATGAATTGTACTAAAGTTGAATAATGAAGTAGTTTAGAATATCTATTAAACCACTTTTAAACTATATATAAATGCAGTTACAGAACTATGTATTAATTATTTTAAGAATATATATATTAAATTTAGATTTTTCAAGATGAACCTTTGATAAGTTTAGATTTTTCAAATGTCCCTTAAAAAATAAGGATGAATTCCGTCATTTACAGCTTAATTAAACTAAATATGTCTTATTCATGCTGGGTTCGTTTAGTAGACGAACCTTAAATCTGAAAAATAAGGGTGAAATATGCTACACAATTTTCTATTCTTCAAGCATTTTCCATGCATCAAAGTTTGCAGCAGGCAATTCGAGCGTTTCTTCTGTGTGCCTCGCAATACAGAACATGTTCATCCGACGTGTCTATATAAGGCCTGTATATGGTTGAACAGGCATACCTGAGTAGTAAGGGTGGACACTGGCTCCATAAGGATATCCAAAAGCATTAGAAGGCGGCTGTTGCGGACCCATCATCGGCTGCTGCAACATGAAAGCCTGATGCTGATTGACCGTTGCGGACATCTGGACGGAAGGTGAAGCAGCAACCGTGTCGGAGCCATAAAAGTGGTCATGCATCATGACATTAGATGTTGGAGGTGGTTCCCATGGATTATAGCTGACGTTCTGGTAGCTTCTCTGGATTAATGCATCCTCATACAGGCTGTCCAGCATAAACTTGTCGAATCCTCCGCCCTTTCAACCAAATACCAAATTAAAATAGTATCGGTGAGACATACATACATGAACATGTTATGTTACCTATGTATGAATGAATGGACATCACATCACATCACATGTCTGTAATACCATTTTGTAAGTGGCAGTGGCATTATCATTCGAGCTTGGAGCAGTGGCAAGTGCCAATTCCCAGCCTGTAGTGCCATTTGCTTGAACAGAAGCAGCGGGAGAAGCTGTTTGCTCAGCTGGAACACCACCATGAAAACATAAACACAAATTGACATGCAAAAGGTTCAAACTTATTTTTTGTGGTTAAAACCTGTAGAAAACCGGTTTATTGATGTTTCATGGCGTAAAGTATGAACTATTGAAGATGACTCAAACTCACCAACAGGAACAATTGTCAATGCCAAGGCATTCTTCTCATCTAATTTTGATGCAACCGAGACAGGATTGTATAAACCCTGATAAGAAAAAGAAAAACTCATTATGAAACTGCAAAAGTTGCAGATGAAACCATAAAAAGAGACTACTACATTACCAACAAATCAGGCGGTTCAACCATAGGCTCTTCCACTTTCTCCGCTTCTTCTGGTTCAGGCAGAGGAGGTGGTGAACATTGCTGCACCTCTGGGGTTTTCTTGCACTCAACGGCCAACACTTCTTTTGGGTTTTCAATCTGCTTATCATATCAATCTTTTGTAAGATTAACAGAAAGTAGAAAAAATCAAAACAGGAAAAACATGTCATAAAGATGGTAATAGAATATTATATATGAATAATAGCTCAACTGGCAGAATAATGATGAAAAATGGTTGATCCTTATAACTAGGTATCTAAATTAACACAAATTCATCAGCTTACATATATTGCATCTAATTGCATGCATGCAAAGGCATAGAAATATATATAAATTATCTTTAAGACCTGATCTTTGCGCACAGTTGAAGCCTGTGGAGTTTCACTTACATAATCTTCCATTGCTTGTAGAAAGGATGCAGGGGGCTTCAACATAAAATTCAAATGAAAATTAGTTTCTTCAACTTATGAGAGTTCAAGGCAAAGCGAATCTGTCACAGAAGGCACCAAAGTTGAAGGTCCCTAACCTGCTCTATCTTAATATACCAATCGCCATGCCCAATATCAAGTCTTCTACATACTTCATAAAATTCTGAAAGCCCCTCCACCTGCAAATACAAAATTAGTTCTAAATCATCTTCATTTACGCTAGAGACAATATTAGCAAAACTGGGACAACAATTTACCTGATACCTGGATCTCCTGTATATATTCAAAGCTCTCATGGCATCAGGACGGTCCATGTCAAAGAACTGTCATTTGTTCAGATTGTCATATATATATGATTTACCGAGAAGAAAAGTGTCTCGTTTAGATAGTTAAAACCGCACAGCTTACCTTGTCCATGAGATTAACTGTACCATCACTTAAAGCTCGATAAATATTGACACTTTCTAAAGCAACCTGTTTGAAATGACAAAAGGGCACAAGAGAATGTCATTTCCAAACAGCTCTCATTGGGAGCATAGATGGGCACTATATTTGAAAATTAACATACCAAAGAAAGTGCCAACCGGATCACAAGATTATGAGCAGCCGCCCCTATTGGCTGCACAGAAATTCTATCAATGTTCCCACAAAGAGATATGGTACTAACACAAGAGGAATTACATACTCACCTGACAGCCAAGAACACGGAAAAGAAGTTGTTGCAAAGCTGTCAAATGTTCAAGCACCTCTGCAGTGTCCAAACCTATGGTTCTCTGCAAGAAGATTTACATCTATGACATCTCCAGATAGTTCAGTTTCAATAAAAAGAGAATATGTATAGAACACAAGCTTCCTACTGGGCCGATCATCTCAATATCGTACTTCAAGATACGGAAACATTCCAACCTGTCCTCCAAGAATAAGGCGTAACTGCGAACCCAGGCAGAATAATCCCATGCTGTGCAGCAAATGGTTAAAATAAACTTAAAAAAGATTCCATGAACAAGGAACTTAAGCTTTCTGAAAATGAATAGTAACATGGATTCTCAATTAAGGTACTCTTTAGGTTGGAATCATCCTTGAAATGAGACAGGTTAAGCAATTGGCGTCTACTTCTGCCATAGTTAATGAATTCTTCATGAAACGTAGGGTCCACCTCCCTCAAAGCACGATGAATCACTATTAAAGTTTTCAGTGCTACCTAGATGCCAAACAAACATTCATTCCATCAAATCTAATCAATGTATCCAGTTTTCACTTGTAAGATTATTCTGCCCTTCTTCTTTAAAGTAGCAAACCAAAGACTATGAATTGTGAAAGAATAGTAATACAGTATATCTGTAATCCGGCATACCACCCAATTACGTGTCCTTGATAATCGTCGTGCAAGAGCATAGATGCAATAGGCAACATCGGCCCGAGGCCTTGTAGCTGAAACGGCAGCGAAAATTGCTGTGAAAAAAGAGATGGAGTTTAATTTATAAGAAATCTATAGAGTTCCTGCAAAACATGAAGACTAGAATAGAACATTGAGCATCCACCTTTAATGTATTTTTCCTTTGCAGGGCGTTCGTAATGATTGGTGGCCTTCACTATAGCAATATCCAGTTCCTGCAAAACAGAATAATGCAGGATTATAACTCGATTGTTGTTATTCTTAGATACAACTAAATCCACCTTATAATCACTATGGACTTTGGCCAATGAAACCGTGGTGGTATCTTTGATGGCTCCCAGAGCTTTCCTCAATCTACTCTGCTTGCTCCCGCCGGACATTCTATCACTCCCGATCACAAAATTTGCCCGTTAGAACATTTTGAATAATTCACATCGCAAACACACACAATGCACAAGAAAGTGGCAGTATTCATCAATATGGATGATAATTAAGAGAAAAAAATTACAAAAAAATAAGACAATCAAACTACAGACTCCAGAAAGCAAAACAAAGATCTAACCAAACAGAAAGTGCTCACGCTTGAATCACCACCCAATAAGGAAGAAAACGGAAATTTAACCAAATAAATTGGAAAAAAGAAATCAATCAACAATTTTAAAATTACATTAACCTTTACTCAGTTTTGCCAGACACAGTTTATTTATTACGATCTTGCTTAAATTTAATTTATATAAAAATCTTTTTCTAGATTTTGATTTTCTTTCTGTCCATGTGTCAGAATACGCAATTGTAAACTGCAGATTGGAATTAGTCAGTAACTTAATGCGGGGATTTTCCTATCATTTGACTTAATTTCATTGAAATAAATAAAGCAATATTGGCCAGAGCTGAATCGGAACACTTTCAGTGCCTTTGTTTTTGTTTTTATCTTCCCAATAAACAAATCCAATAAGATTTTCCATGAGCTGAACCCGCAGTCCAATGCGATGATGAGCTGGTTATGGCCCATATTGGTTGGACCAAGTTCTCCAATGGGTACGTATGAAGTATTGGTAATTTGGTATTCATCTATGTGTTGGATTTGTTGATGATTTTTTTTTCCTTCAAAAATCTAATTCATTTGTTTGATAAAAAACATAGAATTAAAAAAATAAATAAAAATATTAAAATAAATTGATAATTTATTTCATCATAACTCAAGTATGGCATATATAAAAACCCTACATTCACGCCCTATTTAAATATGTCCTATATGTTTAGAAAATTAGCATGACAAATAAATCTGTGGACATTTGTATGTACAATCGTCCTTTCTAGTATAAGCATCAAACTTGTGATGGCGAATCAGAACATAAAGGACATGGAGGGTCCCACCTATTCTCAAAACTCGTTCTCTGTTCCAAACAATCTGCATGATATGCATCCCCACAAACTAGAACTGCCACAACAGATAATTCGGCGGAAGCCAACGCATTTCCAAAAAAATACGGTTTCCGACTCAAATGCTTCTGACAAATGCCACAAATCATCTTCATCTTGTCGGGTGATATTGCATCCATCACTAGCAAACTAGACCTAATCCTTTCTGGTCTGCCAGATGCTTGATGCTTACCATCTGCAAAAGCTGGAACACTAAGTTAATATTGCAAAAATACATTCCCACCGTCCACGCTATGAAACAAATTCTCAGCATGAAACCTGGTTGACATCCAGACTCTGAGTTGGTCTCGGTGAACTTGAAGGATAATTTCTCATCGTGCAAAGGACTAATCTTTCCACGAGAAGTTGATCGATTAGAATGGTTGCCAGAGTTATGCCATTGGTAGTGCTGGTCATAGTAACGGCGTGATCGTTTTGAAAACATTGAACGCCCAAGATTGTAATGGCGTTGAGCAACAGAAGATTTGTGATGTATCTTGACAGAACTATCTCCAACATCCATGCTAGCCTCCATATTCAACGAAGGCTACAAAAAACCAATGGAAAATTGCAGACCATTCAGTTGACAAAGAGATGGACGGCAAACATCCGAGTAAAAACGATCAGAATCAAATATTCCCAAGAAATCATAAAAAAAAGTCCCTTGACGAATGAGCCAAAAATATATCAATCAACAATTCTAGAGAACCAAGTAATCAACAGAGAAAATTAAAATGTACCCAAATCAAAGATAGAGGAAAAGTTTTCAGACAGATTGAAAAAAACAGAAGAAGAAAAGAAACATACCCGAAGAAGAAAAGTAGGAAGAGACCAAGATTTTTATGACTATGATGTCGGGAACTTGTCCGTCTCTTTCCCATTATAATGAATTAACCAAGACAAAAAATAAATAAAGAAATAAAGAAACAAAATATAGTAAATTACCAAAAATTAAATCCACAGGTGAAGTTGTTTCGACAACAGTAAACCATAACCCCAAAAGCCCTTTCTTTTTTGTGAGAATATTTGGGTTCTGGGAACTGTACGGTCAGTATGATTTGTAGAGAGAGGATCACAGCCAGCAACTTCATTTGGGGCAGTTTATATGTACTGACGTTTTGTTTTCCGGAGAGATTATAGGAAAATTTAAGAGCGGATGAACCTACATAGGAAAATGCCGTCCATTCATCCAACTCATTACATTTTTGCATGCCAAAGAAGTATGCACGTTCGTTTAAGAAAGTAAAAATCATGGAGCATCACGTGCCTGTTTGATTCATAATTGGATGTTTATCTTTCGTATTGGACACTCTAAATCGTCTTTTTGCTCATCTTTCAACGTGGATAATCTCAATAAATTTAAACATTATTATCATCTTCCAAAAATATAAATCTTTTCCATTTTAAATATATATTTTTTAAGTTGTGGATTAAGAAATAACTCATATCTCAGATAAAATCATTTGTCTATGCTCGAAATATATAAACATACGTGTTATTCTCTTAATCCCACTTACAAAGATATGTTCTATATAAAATTAAAAGTTTGGTGTGTTAATCCTATAAACAATAGGAAAAATTACATAAACGGTCTCTGGACTTTTATGATGTTTGTATTTTAACCATCAAATTTGTATAATTTGAAACAGCCAAAGTGTCACCAAGAGTTAAATGTAACAAATACACACACGTATAATTCTTAAAATTTAACGGTATCTATCTGTATAAATTATCATAAAAACAAAAAACATTTTAATTATGCAATTTCTGTGATTTCCAACTCTGAACAACGTTTTACAAATTGGGCCAATCAGAAGAAGCCAAGTGTATAATGTCCCGGATTTCACGGGTCCTACAAACTTGACCCGAGAACCAAATATTCTTAAAGATGCCTTTTTATGGTGTGTTTTTTTTTATAGGGAAATTCATATTTTTCTTTTGATTGGTCGGAATGTCATTAATAGTAGATTTTTTGGGATATATTATTGGGAATGCCATTATTTCTCTTTCCTTAGTATTATTGGATTATCGGCGTTTTGGACTAAAATACCTTTAAAAAAATTTCTTTCAAAAATATTCTTATTTTATCATTGAATAATAAAAATTTTACGAAGATTAAATTACAAATTTTTCTTAAACTATTTTAGATTTACAAAAAAAATCTATAATTACAATTTTATATGAATTTCAGGGATTAAAATAAAATTTTATCCTTTCATCAAACATTTTTATATTTTAATTTTTGTAAAAAAATTATATAAATTTTATGAATTTAATTTTTTTAAAGAAAATTTATAAATATTTTTTAAATAGTTAAAAAAATAAATATATAATAAGGATAATTTAGTCAAATATACATTCCAATAATCTTTTATTCCTTTAACCAAATACGGTAATTTTACATTCATGCTAAACCAATCAAACACAAAATATAATATTTCTAGTAAATTTATTCCCTGATAATCTTTTATTTTCACCGATAATCTTACATGTGAACTGATAGCTATTAAAGCAACCCAGGCCACAATCCAATTCCCTCGTGACCTTCTCAAGTGGCTTTTAACTAAGTTTCCCAGAAAAACTCTCTTCCCTTCCCTCTTAATCATCACACCTTCAACTTTCGTTTTGAATACTCCAACTCAGTTTCCCTTCCTTTCTTTTCAGACAGTCCTCAACGCCAGAAAAAACAGAAATGGCAAATTTCACCTCCAGATTAGATAACTTTTGTTTTCTTCCTCATAACCCCAGCACTTCCCAAAGTTCAATTTTTTTAGCAGAACTTCCCGGAAGAATATTCACTTGGAGTTAATTCATTCAAAGCATCGGTTGAGTTTCAAAGTTTTATGTAGTATCAAGGAGAAAGAGAACGTTAAAGACGAGAGAGAAAAGGTTGGTGCTGGCAGTGGTGGGTTAGTAAATGGGGTACGTGTCGAGGAGCTGGACAAAAAAAGAGTAATGGGTCGGGAAAGTTCGTCTAGAGAAGCTGGTTTTGATTTGGGTTGGCCTCAATGGAAGAATATTCCTCAGAGATATAAGCTCATCGGTACCACTTCACTTGCCTTTGTTATTTGCAACATGGATAAGGTTGGTCATCAACATTTCTTTTTTGCTTTGATTCTATTCTCTTAAGCAATTTAACAAACATTTTGTAGTTCATAACTCATAAGAAATATATTATGAAGCTAAAATTGACCTGTTGATGCCAAAGTAATTGCCTTTCTGAGACATGTAATGTTATTGCAGTGAAACATTGATTTCCTCCTTATAACTCCATGTAGTACTTTGGGGACATTTGTATGTTCAAATGAACAGAAATAAGTTGCAATATTAATGATCAGGGAAGGTTATATTGTTCAAGGTTTCTTGTTAGGTTGCATTGTATTTAATTGTTACTGTTTTGAAGAACTAAAAAATGTTGTATTTTTGGGTAAGAAAGAAAGTGATATTACTAGAACAATTATGATTTTGGATTTTTAATCAATTATTTAATTATGATATTTCTCTTTATAGAAACTATTCTTGGAAGCCTAAGCAAATAGCAAAATTTATGTAGTAGAAAAAGCAACCGCTTGGAGCCTCCATTATTTACTTTTATGTTTGGGTTGAACTAATTTCGTTAAGTTTGTTAAATGGGATAGGTGAACTTGAGTGTTGCTATAATTCCAATGTCACATCAATTCGGGTGGAATTCATCAGTAGCTGGATTAGTGCAATTCTTCTGGGGTTATGCATTGAGTCAGTTGCCAGGGGGTTGGCTTTCAAAGATTTTTGGTGGAAGGTTAGTTTTTTATGAATTTGGCTATTTAGTTCAAATGTGCAATCTTTCCACTTTATTCATGCTTACTTGCAATATGGATTGCTAAAAGAGAAAACTGGTGATCTTGAAGTTATCCACAATTTAGTACGTCATTAAGAATTTGAGGATATTCTGTGCTATCTATGAGCATTGATGAGAAGCTAGCAAATCTAGCTCAGATATAACTGAATCCTAAGGTATATTTTATTTGAGGATACTTTCATATCTCTTGATTAATGATAACTGCTCCCTTTAATGTATTTATTCTACATATCTTAATTAAGCATACATTTGGACCTGCATCGCACATCACCTTTTATTATCAAATATATGATGATTTTCGATTTAGCAAATGACCAAGAACATCTCCATATATGGGGCTCTTAATCATCCATTCAAAAAAGATGACGTCCATAGATTATTGAAGGACCAAAAATTCAATTTTCTTTTGAAAGTTCCATATACGCTTCATATTACCTGCTAGAGTCTTATTGATGCAGAAAAGTTATTGAGATTGGAGTATTGGCTTGGTCCTTGGCTACAGAACTTGTTCCTGTTCTTGCTGGATTCATGCCTGGACTACTCTTGTCTAGGATTTTGGTATGTAGGCATTCTTTTTCTTATTTTTTCTTCAATTGTTATTATCTAGTGACTGTCAGGATTACTAGTCCATTTATTCGCTGAAGCCGTTCAGCTGTTTAATGTATTGCCCATTGATATGATTATGCAATTATGCTGGAGCTTCTTTTGTAAATCCAGGTCGGGATAGGAGAAGGTGTTTCTCCATCAGCTGCAACTGACCTTATTGCCAGGTATGTTCGCCATCTATACTCTAAGAGCATGCTGTTTAATTACCTACAGTTCATGTTGTTTACGAGTAACCTTAAGGGCACGTTTGCCCAAACTTTATACTTTTCATTTGCTGTATTAATTTGTCCACATGCAGTACATTGGTGAATTGAAACTTCCTGGTCATGGTTTTACTACCATCAAAATTCAGCTTTCCTTTTCCCCTTATAACTATGGATAACAAAAGATGGACCACGGAAAGCTTCCTTACAATTTTTTATCATAATTCATGTTGAAACTGGAGTTTATTGATTAATGTTCCTAGTAAAATCAAATGCATACAAATCTGTCTGTATGCTTATGTCCATTTGTTTTTTTTTTGGACTCTGTTTGATGAGATATCTTAAGTTTGGTGTTTTCTTCAGAAATCTATTATTCCATTTTTATATGAAGTCTTTTTTTCAAGTTTTAGATCTCTAAACTCTGTAAATCTATTATAAATTCATAGATCACCCCAGTGATTTTTATATATGGTTGTATGCATGCTATATACACCATTAAAATCTTCTATTGTTCTACACATCCTTGGGAGATTCATTTTCAGGTCAGGAGGTAAGAATCAGTTACCCATCCCTGTGCTGTGGGAGAAATGATTTTTTTTCTTCTATCTCCTTACATAATTACACTCGCAGATGCAGATGAACTTTTATAGTTTTCCAAAACTAGAAAACATTTTGAATCTAATATTGTTATTTGGCCTTGTGGTATATGGATACTTTGTGCTGCTAGTGCACTTTTTGTGATATTGTTCATACCTAAATAACTAACTGTGTTTTGCTTATTTCCTTTTGTCGGTACTGTCCGACACAACATGCAGATCAATACCTTTGGAAGAACGGTCAAGGGCTGTATCATTTGTTTTTGGTGGGTTAAGTGTAGGAAGTGTTACAGGGTACGCTTTTAA